TTAGACTCATGCAGCCATGCAATGATGCTGAATGCAGGAAGATCACAGGCCAGTGGGTGGAAAGTCTTGTGGATCCAGTGGTGGTGGGAGCATCTCGGCGATGGCAGGGGTCTCCACATGCTCCTCCAGCTCCCAGGGCTCCGGCTGCATCCGCGTAGCTCCAGAGTTGACTTGAAGGCCCCCTGCAACGAAAAACAGCAGCTTCCTCCTAAAATGTGACATGCGCTCTGGCGTCATTGGAGGGAGACACCACTTGGAGAGCAGGCATGTGTTTAAGATCAAGACGCTAAGTAAGAGGAAGCTTCTCCTCTAGGCCTTTCTCATGGGCAGGGGCGGAGACATAACAGATGAGATGTCAACCATGTTTTAAAGAACATCAGAAAGACAAAACGATCAGGGAATCAAATCTACTATTTGACATTCCCCCCGCCTCCCCCCTCATGCGTGGGCATAATCAGGAATCTGGGTTTTAAAAGGTTGACTGTGGTCCAGCTCCTGGGAGTCCACACGCCTTGTTCACGCCCTCTCTCCCAGCGAGGGCGTCTGCAGGGTTCCATACTTCCGTTGCCAAAGCGCAGGTCTTCTTGTCTGAGGACAGTCGGCTGGACGAAGACAGACCCTTCGTATTTGAAACTATTTTTTTTAATGATGAGACAGACACAATAGCGATTCTTGAGTTTTTCGCTTTCAAATGACATGGTCGCTGTTTGTTTCCTTCCCGTTTAAATACCGTAACTGCAACTTGGGCAGAGATGGGCAGAGTAGCTCATCGGTTTTCCAGTCCACAAACCCATACCCAGTTTGGTTCCCCTCATCGATGGCAGCCCCCTCCGGGGACCGGCTCGTTTCCATTCCGCCTTCTTCCCCAGCCCTTCCGACCTTCATCCTTGGGGAAATTCTGTCCTTTTGATCTCATATGGTTGGGACTCTAAGGTGTGGGCGACTCCCTAGCGTTAGGGTTCCCCTGATAGACAGCTGTCTATTGTTGGGCTGAACACGGGCCTTGGAGGTGAGTTCAGTGCCGGACCTGGAGGGCGAGGAAGCGCCTGAACCTCGAGGGTTCTGCCGGCCTCGGTCTGACCGGTAAGCCTGGACTTGTGCCGTCTCCGTGGGAGGGTGTGCTCTGGACACGGGCCTGCATTGTGTCGTAGCTCCCTGGGAGACACACAGCCCCAAGACAAAGGTCCCTGGAAACTAGCAAACTGCTCAGTAACAGGGCCTCATGAGATGTTGGGAGGAGGGGGGCTTTAAATAACTGCCCATTTGATTTTTCAAAGCCAATCTCACTCACTACCATAGAGTGGATGCCGGTTCAAATGGCTCCTAGAGGACAGGGTAGAACGGCCCCTTTTGAGTTTCTGAGACTGTAGCTGTTTGAGGGAGTAATTTCTCCCACTGAGCAGCTGGTGGGTGTGATTTGCCAACGTCGCAGTTCACAGCCCCATGAGTTACCGCCACCACACCAGGGCTCCCTGTAAAAGCCAAGAGAGAAGGAAATCACAACTTCCTGGGGGAATTGTCTTCAAGAAGTTTCTGGAAAAATCCCCTTGTGCATGCGCAATGAACGATAGCCCGGGTAAAACCAGCCTTCATTGAGTGTTGTGGGAGAACGCCGTGGCCCCTGTGTCAGAGCGGAAGGGGCTCCCCTGGCTTTGCCAAAGCTCTGTTCTCAGCAGGGCATCCATTTCCCCACCGGCACTCTTTGCTTCCAAGGTGCCTCTGGGCACACTTGAATTTTCACACCGTGAATGAGACCCGCTGCTCACTTTCACGGCCTGCCTATTAACTTCGCCGAACAACAAGTCATTGTCGGTTCAAGCCCACCAGCTGCTTAGTCAGAGAAAGAAGAGGCTGTCTCTGTAGACATTCAGCTTCAGAAATCCTCAGGAGCAGGGTGAGGTCCAGGTAGTATGGCAGGGGCCAGACCAAATCCAGGGATGCATATGGTAGCCAACTAAAAAGGAGGGGGGAAAAAGGCATGGGTAGTGGGAGAACAGGGCACTAACCCACCCAAGGGGAGGGCAGGGTTTATATCTCCACAGGGAAAGAGGGACCAGACCTCAACCCGGTGCTCCAAGACATGAATGCAACATACCGGCATGAAGCAGGGAATTGACAGAGAGGTGTGAGGGGCCGGCCCCAATCCCAACTTCATGGATAGTCCCCCCTCCCTGCAGAAGAATTCACTTCAGAGGACAGCCCTGAAGCTACAGCTCAGGGAGAGGGACATGTCTGATCAGAGCACACAGGAGCAAATGAAGGGGGAGGAAGAGCGAGTGGAGCACATCCTGGCCACCAAGCCCTGAGGATGATATTCCCGCTCAGAGCAGCCAAAGCACAGAGAGGACCATAGGGCCAGCCCAACTATGGGACACAACATCCCTCACTGACCCATAGCCCCACAGGGGACAACAGTGGACACAGTGCGGGAATTGCACCCGATCTGACCCCACTACACCGAGGCAAAACACTAAGGGCGTGCAACAGAACAGCAAGGGGAGCAGAGCAATGAAGTCCCCAGGGAATACCAAAAATAAATTTTGGGGCCAGGGCATGCCATCCCATCAGACTGGACCGGAAAACACTCCTAAAGGTCAACAAACAGACCTTGAACTATTTATAGGCTTTTCTTCTTTTTTTGTCCTTTCTGTTGTTGTTGTTGTTTTCTTTTCTTTTGTTGCTTTGTTTGCTCTGTCTTGTTTTTGTGCATATTACTATCTCTGCAGGTCTATCTAGATAAGTCAGGTGGGATAAACAATCTGGAGGAGAAAACAAGGGGACCGACAGTTCCAGGGGGACATGGGAGAGAGGGAGGTGGGGGAAAGGAAGTGGGTGTTAACAAACCCAGGACAAGGGGAAAAGTGAGGAGCTGATACCAAGGACTCAAGTAGAAAGAAAATGTTTTGAAAATGATGATGGCAACAAGTGTACAAATGTGCTTGACACAGTAGATGGATCTATGGATTGTGTTAAGAGTTGTACGAGCCCCCAATAAATGATTTTTTTTAAAAAGACACCCTCAGGAGCAGCCTTAGCTGGAGGGGTGGGGTTTGAGCGACCCCTGCAAGGTTGGCAGCTGGAGCCCACAGTCGTTCCATGTGGGAGAGACGTGGCCATCTGCTCTCATAAAGGTTTGCAGCCTTGGAACCCGCCGGGCGGTTCTACTCCGTCCCCCATAGAGTTGCTCTGCGTCACAGTTGATCTGGCGTCACAAGGGCTTGGCTTTTGGTTTGCTCCCTTTCTATAAAAGCAGCCTTGGTGGTCCAACAGTTAAGCACCGGTGGTCTGATGCCACCCTGGGGCAGTGTGGCAGAAAGGCCTGGCGGTCGACTATGACAAAGATTACGACCTAGAGCACCCTATGGGGCGGTGCGGGCAGCCACTTGGCAGAACAGACTGGACAGGGCACCTAACAACGAACACGTTCACACTGCAGCTGGTGTTTGTGCTAAGGTTATACTTTTCCTAGACAAAGAAGGTTCACGGTGAGTTAATTGACCTAATTTCACTTGACCATAACCCTGACATGCCGTCTCACTCAGATGGTTAAAGTGAACCACCTTTGAGACTGGAGTCGGATCATGGAAACCTGCATCTGACCACGCGAGAGAGGTCCTGAGTCCGGCCACAGGCTTTATCTAGAAATCACGTGGGACCTGGCATTTCTGAATTATCCTGCTGCCTTCCCTAACTACCTAGGGGGATTAGAATAGGTCGATTCGGCAGGCTCGTTCCATTCACTTAGTATCCTCTATGAGTGGGCATCCACTCATGGAAGTGAATGTGGGTTTGGGTTTCAGAACACAGAACTAACTGCTCTCTTGGATTGCCCAGACAAGAGGTCAGGTCAGGTCCCACAGTAATTCACTGCCATAGAGTCTAATCTGACTCATCACAATCTTAAATAGGGTTTCCGAGGCTGTAAATCTTTATCAAAGCAGGCAGCCTCATTTGGCTGCCGTGGGAGCGGCTGGTGGATTCGAACCGGGTACGACAGGGGCATCAGGCTCGCACAGCAGTCATTTCTTACTCCGAACACACGGGGGCGCCACAGCACAGAGAATGCCGTGCCGACAGCCGGAGACGCTCTCGCCCGGAGGACGAC